GTTTCCCTTGGCTAGGAAAAGGAATTGCCTTCTCCCTTGCGCTTCCCAGGTGAGGCGATGCCTTGCCCTGCTTCAGCTCTTGCTGGTTGGGCTGCACCTGCTGACCAGCACTGACTGTCTGACACGCCTCAGTGAGATGAACCTGGTACCTCAGGTGAAAATGCAGAAATCACCCGTTGTCTGTGTTGCTCACGCTGGGAGCTGGAGGCTGGAGCTGTTCCTATTCAACCATCTTGGGCGCCCCCAGCAATACATTTTTTAATCAAACATTTTGTTAAGCATAACAAATAATCAAGAATGGTAAGTAGATGTTCTAACACAGAAAGCTTGTGCTGCACAGTAATCTATTAGACTTCCTAATTTAGTGAAATATCTTAGTCTAGCACTATTTCTACTACCATGTTAGGACTAATGATAGTAACCTACATAGTTCCCTTATCTTTTCTCTCTTCTTAAATGAATCTGTCTCTTTTATTCTCTAACTCTGGAATTCTAAATAGAGCAGCTTCATGTAACTTCTAAGTTCCATAGCATTGTTTGTAAAGTAGTTTGTGTATGTGCATTTTTATTGGAAGAAAATAGTTATAAGATTCTCACAGGGCCTTATTATCTAGCCCCCCCCACCTCCATAAAACTTGAAGAACATTAATATATCTCCTTTATTTTTTTCTTCTTCTGTCAAAATAATTTTCCCATGAAAAATGATAGCTAGCATGTAGTACACATTGACTACATGCTAAGTACTGTTTAAGTGCTTTGCATTTTTATCCTTTTAAACTTCATTATAGGCCAGGCGCGGTGGCTCATGCCTGTAATCCCAGCACTTTGGCAGGCCGAGGCAGACAGATCATGAGTTTAGGAGATCAAGACCATCCTGGCTAACACGGTGAAATCCCACCTCTACTAAAAATACAAAAATTAGCTGGGCGTCTGTAATCCCAGCTACTCGGGAGGCTGAGGCAGGAGAATGACGGGAACCCGGGAGGCGGAGCTTGCAGTGAGCCGAGATCGCACCACTGCACTCCAGCCTGGGAGACTGAGCGAGACTCCGTCTCTAAAAATAATAAAATAATAATAATAATAAACTTCATTATAACTGAGAGGTAGCTGTTATCATTTTCCAGACAAGGAAGCAGGCGCACAGAGATGAGGTAACTTAAGATTCACACCTTGTAAGTAAAAGCAGGCAGAATTTGAAAACATTTAGTTTGAACCCTGACCCTACACTACTAACATCTGGACCCAGGCTACGCTGTTTTTTGCCACACAAAAGCATTTTTTGAGAAATATAGGTAATTTTCTAGTATTAAATCTGTAAAAATTACTATAATATTGCTTACTGTACTCGCTTTGATCTCAATTTATCAAAACTCCACTAGAGACATTTCTTATAATAATATGGTGATCTATTTATTGGTAGTTGGATATACATAATGGGATAGCAAAAAATTAAAACATCTTAAGCATTAATCAATGAGAAATTGGCTAAATTATGGTTTATTCATACAATGGAATACTCTGTAGTAAAAAATAGAAAGTTTTCTATATTGTTACATAGAAAGAGCTCAGAGATGAATAACTAAAGGTAAGGCATAAATTCAGATAGGGGAGAAATAGTGGTATTTATATTGCTTATATATGTGTAAGATATTCTGGAAAGATACATAAATTACGTCTAGTCGTAGAAGTTGGGGTAGTGAATGTAAGATTTGGAGAAGATGGTGAAGAGACTTTTTTGCTAATGATATTTTTTTTACTTCTTGATTTTTAAACAGCATAGATACATTATTGCAACAATTAAATTTGCAGAAAATAAAAAATGTATTTTGGGGGGAATAAGTAATGTTTTCACATTTTTCAACATTCAAACAGTGCAAAAAGACTGAAAAAATTTCCCTTTTACCCCTTTCCCTAGCCACTCAGTAGTTGCTATCAATCACTATCCGTTTCCTTTTTATTATTCCATAGACATTTTATGCCTATACAAATTCATGGGTGTGAAGGTATATATTTTTTTCTTTTAGCTCCCTTTTTGCACACTGTTCTACACCTTGCATTTTTCTGCTATTAATATATCTTGGAGACCATTTCATATTCAGTACATGAAGATCTTCCTCATTCTGTTTCACAGCTTCAGAACATTTCATTATATGATATATTGAGTGTGTTTAATCAGTCCACTGTTAATAAACATTGGGATGATTTCTAATCCTTTGCCATTGATAAATAATACCACAGTGAATAATAGTACATATATGTTATTTTGCATTTTTTCAATTATATTTTTAGGATAAATTCTTAGGAGTGATTTGCTGTGTCAACAGTTGCCTACATTTATAGTTTTAATGGTTATTGTGAAACTGCCCTTCATTGAGTTTTACCAATTTATGTGAATACCAGTAATGTGTAAGTTACCCTATTACTTTGTGTTATAAAACTATTTGATCTTTGCTTTGAGCTCTTTTGTCTGGGTACAAAAGATCACTCAGTGTAGCAACTCAGTGTAGTTTTAATTTCTCCTGATGTTGAGCATTTTCCATAGTTGAGCCATTTTTTTTTTACTGTTATTAAAACTTTATTTTTCTATTGAATCAAGCACTAGCTACCAGTTACAGTTAGTTTTATTGTGCCTTCCAAACGCACAGTTAGCTTTGCTTTATCAATAACCAAATAATAAACTAGGTCCCAATGGTTATGTCCACATCTAGACTGTTCAGGTGATCAGGAACTCTTTTTATTTGTGTGCTTTAGCTTTTAGTTCTTGGTTATATCTCCAAATACGAAAAAGCTGAGAGGCTCCTGCTGTCCCCACAAAGAAATTAACAGCAAACAGATTCCAATTTTTTGGAATAATTACAAGTGAGTATCTTGACCAAATAAACCCTGTAGCCATCAAAACAGCAGATTGAGCTGTGCTAAGTTTTTCTGCAGGTCTGGCCATATCAGCCAATCCAGCACACACCAACCCCCATTTCATAATTGGAGCCCAGAAAAAAATTGTTCTGGGACCTGCTGGATGGTTGTACAACGGCCTCAATTTCTCGGGCAGCATCAGCTCCACTTTATCGAGGAGTTGGTGGTAGGTGGCCCGCAGGCCTCGGGCACCGGAGGCCGACATCGCCGCCGACGGATCGTGCGCAGCCAGGTGGGAGCGTGGCTCGATTCTCGTCCCCAGCTGACAACGAAGTGGAGCTAGTCCCTTTTCCTTGCCACGACGCCTGGCGTCCGCCTCTCGCCTGGAGAGCCCTTCCCGTGGCTCTCCCTGTCCCGCTGTGAACCAAAAAGCTGAGGTCCGCGGCCCACGCCCGGCGCCCCGCGAAGGTTGAGGGGGCGGAGGCTGCCAACGGCCCGCCCCTGGCCCGCTCCTGGTCCTCAGCCCGCCGCGTGAAGGAGAGAGGGAGGAGGAGCCTTGGCAACAGGTGTCGAAACAATCACCTCACCGAGTCCACCCAGCGCCCTACTGGCAGCGAGCTTACGCAGGCTGAGCTGCCCACCAGGATTGGCTCGCCCTGAGGCGTGGGCGGGGTCGAGCGGAAACCTCCTCTTTCTCTCCCCTCCCCCCACCCCCCACTCGAGGCCGTGTTAGAGAAGGGAAAGTAAAGCTGCGCTGGTTCTTCTGCTCCTTAACTTTGATTAAGCAGACCTGTAGTTAAAATGGGCTTTTCCGGCCTTCAGTGCCTAAAGATGATGCTGCACCATTCTCTTCTCTTGACTGGAGGCTCGTGAGCGAGAGACTACAGAATTGAGTCGCTTCTCTCTCTACCCCTTTTTTATCCCTAGCGACTTAAGAATCTGGTTAGAGTGGCCCGAATGCCTTCTCCCAGGGTGAGAGCAGCCGCGGCACACACCAGCCTCGGTCCCCAGGGTGATCGTCATCTTGCGAGAAAAAGCCCATTTGTATTTTCTTTACTATGACACGGTTGTTATATAATACGTCTTTTGAAAATATTCGATTTTTTAAAAAGCCATCACCTCATGAGTTTTTCTTTGTTTAGAATAATCTGTCACCTTTGTCTAAGTCAAAAACTGAGAAAATTTTATTTTATAAATGTTTCTTGCAGTAGGTTTTTTTCATCTTAGTGACCAACATTTGGACTTAAGGTCTGCTTCATAGGAGAGGCCAAGTAATACTGAAATATATCCTATGAGGTCTAGGGGAAAAAATGTATTTATATAGATCTTTGTTAATTTTTATTCATTGTTGGGTTTCCTATCATAAGCTGGAAAAATGTTGCTATTTTTCTACCATTGGCAGTTACCATCTTCCCAAGTTATTTTGTGCATTACATGTAACAAATTCCCTCTCTCAATAGAGCAAGAAGATACAAAAATTGTAAACATACATGCACAAAATAACAGTGCTCCAAATTACATAAATAAATGACAGAATTGAAGGAAGAAATAGACAAATCTATAGTTACAGCTGGAGACTTCAATGTGCCTTCTTAGTCATCAATAACAAGTAGAGAGCAAATCAACTAGGATAAAAGAGACCTGAACAACACTATTATGACATAACTACATCTATAACTTCTACAACAAACAGTAGAATATATATTATATACAACTACACATGGAATATTGTTCATTAGAATAAACCATATGTCAAGTCGTAAAGTATCAATTTTCAAAGAAGTTACATTTTTTGACCACACAGAATTAAATTAGAAATTAATAACAGAAAATCATCAAATCTGTGATAAGCATCATAATTCTAAGTAATTTGTGGATCAAAGCAGAAATCGCAAGGAAATTAGAAAAGATCTTTTTTCCTTTTTTTTGAGACAGCGTTTCCCTCTGTTGCCCAGGCTCAAGTGCAGTGGTGTGATCTCAGCTGACTGCAACCTCTGCTGCCTGGGTTCAAGCAATTCTCCTCCCTCAGAGTCCTGAATAGCTGGGATTACAGGTGCCCAACACCATGCCTGGCTAATTTTTTTATTTTTAGTAGAGATGGGGTTTCACCACGTTGGGCAGGCTGGTCTTGAACTCCTGACCTCAAGTGACCCATCCACCTTGACCTCCCAAAGTGCTGGGATTACAGGCATGAGCCACCTCACCCAGCCTAGAAAATATTTTTAACTGAGTAAAAATGTAAACACAATATACTGAAATTGTGGGATCCAGCTAAAGCAGTTCTTAGAGGGATATTTGTCACTTCAAATACTTTTTCTAAAAAAAGAAGGGCCAGGTACAGTGGCTCACGCCTGTAATCCCAGCATTTTGGGAGGCCAAGGAGTTTGAGACCAGCCTGGCCAATATGGTAAAACCCTGTTTCTACTAAAAATACAAACATTAGCTGGGCATGGTGGTGCGCACCTGTAGTCCCAGCTACTTAGGAGGCTAAGGCAGGATAATCACGTGAGCTTGGGAGGCGGAGGTTGCAGTGAACAGAGATTGCACCACTGCACTCCAGCCTGGGCGACAGCGAGACTCTGTCTCAATAAATAAATAAATAAATACATACATACATACATACATAAATACATAAAAATTAAAAAGAAATATCTAAATCATAATCTAAGTTTCTACCATATGAAGCTAGAAATAGAGCAAATTAGACCTAAAGCAAGTACAAGAAAGGAAATAATAAAAATCAGAGCAGAAATCAATGAAGTTGTAATGGCAAAACAGTAGAGAAAATGAATGAGTCCAAAATCTGGTTCTTTGCAAAAGTCTGTAAAATGGATAAACCTAGATGACAGGAGCTCAGCTGAACTGGAAGTGAGCTGATTGATAAGAAAAAAAAAGGAGGTGGTACAAATTACCAATATCAGGAATGAAAGAGAAGAAGACATCCATATTGAGCCATAAGAGAATATATGGATAACATTTGCCAATAAATTTGACAACTTAGATAAAATGGATACATTTCTTGAAAGATATAAATTACTAAAACTGACTCAAGAAGAAATAGAAAATCTGAATATATGTATACCAAGAAAATTTAATTTAGTTATCAAACTTACATAATTGTTACTCATCCAGAAAAGAAACATCAAGAACTTTATACCAACAAAGATAACATTGTGGTAAACTCTATGAGACATTTAAGGAAGAAATTGTACCAATACTCTTGAACCTATCTCAGAAAATAAAGGAAGAAGGAACACTTCTGAACTCAATTTATGAGGCCAATTTTATCCTGATAGTTGAACCAGGCGTTATGAAAAAAACTACAAACCCATGTCTTCCATGAACATAGAAGCAAAAGCCTTCATAAAATATTAGCAATAGAAAGGATAATACACTATAACCAAATGGGTATTTTTCTTTTAGCTTTATTGAGGTACAAGAAATATTTGAGTTATAAATATTAAGGACAAGTAAAAATTATATATATTTATCATATACAATGTGTAATGTTTTGATATATGTATACATTGTATATGATGACCACAATCAGGCTAATTAACATATCCATCATCTCACATAGTTATGTTTTCTGATGAGAACATTTAAGATCTACTCTGTTAGCAAATTTCAAGTATACAATACAGTATTATTAAATATAGTCACCATGCTATACATTACCTCTCCAGAACTTATTCATCTTATAACAGAGTTTGTATCCTTTGACCAACATCTCCCCATTTCTCCCAGACCCTGGTAACCACCATTCTACTCTGCTTCTACTTTTTAAGATTCCAGTATGAGATCATGCAGTATTTGTCTCTCTGTGACTGGCTTATTTCATTTAACATAATGTCCTTCAGATTCATTAATGTTGTGACAAATGACAGCATTTCCTTCTTTTCTTAGGTTGAGTAATATTTCATGTGTATACAGTCATCCCTCGCTATCTGTAGGGGATTTGTTCCAGGAACCTCCCCGCAGATACTAAAAGCCTTAGATGTTCAAGTCCCTTACATAAAATAGTGTAGTATTTGCTTATAACATATGCACACCCTCCCATATATTTTAAATCATCTCTACCCTAGATTACTTATAATACCTAATATAATATAAATGCTTTACAAATAATTATATTGTATTATTTGTATTTTATTTTTTTAAATATTTTTGATGTATGGCTGGTTGTGGAACTCATGAATACAGAGGGCTATTTCTTTATTCACTCATCCATCAATGGACACTTAGGTTCATTAACATCTTTGCTATTGTAAGTAATGCTGCATTGAACATGAGCATGACCAAATGGGTTTATCCTGGAATGCACAGTTGGTTTGACAACAAAAGTCAATTAATTTAGTTCACATATTAATTGGATAAATGGGAGAAAAACCATATGATCATTTCATTTGTCAAAGAAAACCATTTAGCAAAACCTAATGTCCTTTCATGGTAAAAACACTCACAAAGCTAGGAATAGAAGGGCATTTTCTCAGCCTGATAAAGAGCATATCAAAAACTCTTAGCTAACATCATACTTAATAGTGAAAGACAGGAACAAGATTGGAACAAGACAAGGATGCCTGCTCTCACCACTTTTAGTATTGTACTAAATTTTCTAGCAAGGCAGGTAGGCAAGAAAAAGAAAAAAAGACATCCAGATTGGAAAGGAAGAGGTGAAACAGTTTCTGTTTGCAAATAAAATGACCTTACCTCTAGAACACCATAAGGAATCTCCAAAGAAACCTGTTAGAGCTAATAAACAAGTTCAGCAAGGTTGTAGGATACAAGATAGATGTACAAAAATTTCATTGTATTTTTATACACTAGCAGCGAGCGATCTGAAAATGAAATTAATAATTCAATTTATAATGGGGTGATGAAAATATTTTGGAATTAGATACTGGCAAGGGTTGCACAATTTCATGAATATACTGAAAACCACTGAATTGTATATATTAAAAGAGTAACATTTATGGTATGTGACTTATACCTAAAATTTTTTTCTAGCTGTGTGAAAAAAGACTTGTATCCAGAATGTGTCAAAAATTCTTTTAACTCAAGTGTAAAAAAACAAAAACCCAGCACAAAAGTGGGCAAAATACTTGAATAGATACTTCTTAAGAGAATATGTATGAATGGCCAACAAGTAGATGAAAAGATACTCAACATCTTTGTTCATTAGAGAAGTACCAATTAATATCACAAGTGATGACCAAGTGTTGGCGAGGATTTTAAGTCCTAGAAGTCTTATTCACTGGAATGCAAGATGGTATAGTCAATTTGGAAAAAGGTTAGCAGTTTTTAAAAATATTAAGCATATGCTTACTGTACAACCCAGCAGTTCTGCTAAGTATCAGCCAGAAGAAATGAAAACATATGTCTACATTTAGACTTCTAAATGAATGTTCAAAATAGCCTGATTCATAGTCAAAACCTGGAAACAACCATCAACAGGTGAATGCATGAACGAATGAGTCTCAAAATAAGTGAAAGAGGCCAGGTACAAAAGATTACATCCTGTATGATTTTATTTACATGAAGTTTTTAAAAAAGCCAAAACTATAATAGTAGAAATATCAGTGACTGCTTGGGTCCAAAGAGTAGGGGCCAGGATTGACTACATAGGAACGTAAGCAAATTTTAAGGCGTGATGGAATTATTCTGAAACTATTGTGGTGGTGGTTGCATGACTATACATTTACCAAAATTCATTAAACTATACATAAAATGGTTGAATGTTACGGTATGTGGATTTATAGCTCAGTAAAGTTTTTTTAAATGCCTTCTTTAACTATATAAATGGAAGATTTGTAACTTTATTTCTAGAGATTTGAAAATTAACATCTTTCTCAGTCTGCATATTTTTCTTTTTCATCTGCATTTCTTCTTTGTAGTATATTTCAGAATTTTGTACTTAATGTGCATAATTAGTTTGGCGGACCTTTGTTGAATGTCTGCTATGTGCCAAGCGTTAGGAGGACAGAGTTCCTACTTCCAGAGAACTCACAATCTTATGGAGAAGGCAAATTTGTTTTTAAAGTAATTAATAGGAAACATAAATGCAAGAATAGAAGTGTTGACAAGGTATGGAAGAACTAATTATATCTGAATGGAGCTGGGTGGTCTGAGGTTTCATTAAATGGTGTCAGGGAAGGCTTCCCTAGTGAGCTGGAATTTGGAGGATAATAGGAATTGATTCCGTGCACAAGAGAGAGTAGACACATTAGCTTCCTATGTGGTCTTTCAGTTAAATAAAGAGGGATTGGGGAATATATTTCTGTGTTTATAAGACTAATAAGCTTCTTTAAAAATCAACTTTTAGGATATGAGTTCTTGGTCACTGATATATCTGGTACTTTCATTAGCAAATAGAGCTTCGGATCACCTGGCTACTAACAACTCCACCCCCCTTTTTAAAACTGATTTTGTTTCACACTTATTCAAAGTCTAGGCACGTTAATTAGCACCGTCTCTTGTGAATTTTGTGTTTTTACTGTTGTTCCTTATCCACACTGACAACCTACACGTTTTAAACCAGAAATACCTTTCTCTTTGCTCCAAATTAACATTTGCTTTCACAGAGTAGCTAGGTTCCATAGAACTATTAGATATGTAACGACTCTATTTAAAAAATAAATATATGAAAGAAGCAGATGACATTTAGGAGTTATATTTCAAAGAGATGTATTTTGAGGATATTTAGATACAACTGCTAGGAACCTTTTTCTCTCTTGTTTCTCCTACTCCCTTCATGTTTTTTCAGTTGACTCAGTTAAGAAAGTTTTATTGTCTTAAAGTAATTGATGAGGATGACCCTTAAAATCTATGTAATAGGAAATGTTCTTGATGAAATATTTTGAGAATTTTCTATTTCATGTCTAAAAGGAAGAAGAAGAATTTTCAGTTCTTGCCAGCTGCCTGGGACTTCTGCCAACATTTTACCAAACAGAACATCCATTCATCAGTGCCTCCTGTCTGGATTGGCCGGTTCCAGCATTTGATATTATAACTCAGTGGTGTTTTGAGATAAAATCGTTTACTGAAAGACATGCAGAACAAGGAAAGGTATGTTAAAAGAGTTGTACTAACCTGCCACGATGGTGATATGCTAATAGGTAAGAGAATAATGAAGACTGTTAAATTTTAGGTCATCTGTGTTTGACAGCAATTATAAAACTTGATTAAATTGAAAAAATGGTTTACTTATGTAAATTGCATTTATGAGTATAATGGCAGAAATATTTTAGCTAACAAAGATGAGGCATTAGTCAACACTTTTAGTTTGTTTGGGGTCAGCAGATTTTTATTGAACACCTTAAGTAATCATAGCATTAGACTTGGTAGATACAAAGGAATTATAAGATAGACAAGGAATTGTGTTTTTGTTTGAAGAACTGACTTATATTTTTAAAACAAATTGGACTAGCAGATCTAAAAGGTCACGTCTTTAACTTTAAAATTTGTTGGGCCTAGTGCTACTGGCTCAGCTAGCAAAAGGGTTTGTATTGAAGATGAATAGAGTGGGAACAGCAGTGAGTGGCTGTGTATGCCATGGTTGGAGGCTCAGAATTCTAGAACTACAGTTTTTAAAAAATTGAATAACGTGATGAAAGTATTTTGGGGAGTAATTCTGGTGTCTTTTTGGTGGATAAATTAAGGATAAAGGGAAGCCAGAAAATATTTAGGTGGTGAAGAAAATCTAGACTATTTTTCTGATTGTAAAACTTAGAAAGTAACTAATGTAAGAGACATTTGAGAAAAATATAGGACTTGGTGACCAGATGTACATGACTTTAAGATCTTGAACTCCAATCATTAGGAAAGTAGTGTCTAGTATATATAGCTACAGTAGGAACATGACGTTGCTTAAACACCACTGATGATGCCCATTGCCTATGGAAGAAGGTACAGACTCCTTACATGGCATTCAAGGATCTTCACCATCTTGTTTGCCTTTCCATCTCATTGTATACCCCTCCTGTGCCATTACCTTGCTCAAATCACAAAAGCATGTTTCATAAATATGCTATACATTTTTAAACTTCTAGAACATTACTTATTGCTATTACTAAAGCAACCTTCCTACCCTTCTGTTGAATTAATAATCACTGTTTGCTAAGTAACATTTACTTTTGCTAAGATAAATGTGACTTCCTCCGTGAAGATTTGTCTGATAGTCCATCTTCCTTACATCCTAATCCCTTTTTTTCTGTTGTTCTATAAGGCTGTACTTTTTTGACTGTCTCTAACAGTTGGCATGTTTATTACATTTGTTTCTTTAATGTATCTGAATGCGGGCTCCATGAAGCAGAAATTGTTTCTTATTTATCCCCAGTTTCTAGAAAGTGTCTCATATAGACTAGTCACCTAATAAATATTTGTGGAACAATTAAGTTGTGGGGTGGTGTCATTGGCAGAAATAGAACTTGTGAAAGGGGAGCCAAGTTTCAGGGAAAATGAGAATTTTAATTTTGAACATCAAAAGGACAATAAAAAATTAATATTTCAGATGGATATGTCAGACGATTTAATTTTTAAAACATTGAAGTGAAAAATAAAAGCAAGATAAGCATAAGTTATAAATGTCTCTGCTTTTGTTCTTTTCCATTTTTTGCTGAAATCCTTAAAAAGATGCTATCTCATTTTATACCCTTTTTTTAAAAAAAAAAAGGAAAGGGAAATTCAAGAAGTTAACTGAACGTTGCATATTACATATACAAATATCTTCCTAATAATTTCTTTATTCACAGAGCATATAGCAATAATTTGACATCATACTTTGATGTCTGAAAACCTATGCAGAATGACATGGAGTAAGAGATGGGTATAATTGTAGAACCAAGGCAGGGAAAAAAGTAATGAGCACACCCAGAGTTTGTCTTCATATGAGCCATAGGTTAAAATCAAGCCTACATTTTAGATGAATGATTATTGGTATGTATGCTGATGGAAAACAATAATTTATCATTTTAAAATGTTTAATCTTTTTTATACAATTAGGTGATAATTATTTTAGAGGCAGTGTAGTAGACATTTGATTAATTTATTAATTTATGCTAACAGAATTTTTGCCAGTTATGTAAGTAGTGCACCACCATTTGACCTGCATCCCCACTTGTGTCCCTGCTCCACTCTTGTGTTCCTAACCCTGATCCTGACCCCTAGGTCAACCAGATTCTCTTTCTCAGTAAGGTTAATCTGTGTAGAGAGACCTAGCAGGGTAAATGGTGACAGGAGCTGTGTAGTCCAACAGCACTACCCTTGAAAAACTGTCTGTGAATTCTACTTCTGAATTTTTGTATCAGTTAAGATTCTTTGTTCAGAAACAACAAAATCCAGTTCTGATTTAAAATAAGGAAAACCAAAGCAAACTATGACAGAAAAAAAAAAACAACAAGATTCATTGGAAGCATACTTGGTAATGTGCAGAATTGAAGAGCTTAACTGTCATCACTTGGGAAGAAGAGAAACCACAAAGATCTCTGGTCTGTTTTCTCTGAAGTGCTGCCACCAGATAACTAAGCTTCAACCATTTTCCTTCCATCCGTTTGCATGCTCAAGGTTCAGATTCCTGGGAGAGAGAATCTGGTTGGCCTAACTCTTGTAATACATATACCCTAGTGGTGGGGCAGGATCTTGTGTTGGGGGCAGCCCCATCAGAACTGTATGGAGCAAGAGCAGGGGTTATTTTCCAAAACAACTTATAATGTTATTAATATAAGAAGGCAGCAAAGGATGCTAGGAGGATTTAAAAAACAAACTGGTGGCCCACTACTTTCACATCTTACCTGCCTGGCACATACACACCCTTCTTCTCATTCACAGAATTTCACTTCTGCTGTTCAAAATGATGTAACCATTTTACTTATGACTGCAAATGCATCTGTGACTTTTCCAAATAAGCAACCTGTTGTCACATATAGTCCTTACATCATCAGGCCTCTCTGCATCCAGTAGCTCTGAGACATGTCCATTGTTCCTATCATTTGTTGTACTCACACCCAGATGGTCTGGAACATTTTAATTAGTACCTACTCTCACTGAATTCAATAGTAAGAGAATGAAAATGTTGCAAAGATATATGACACAGTAAGCAAGATTTGCAAGTAGTCATAAAGCGGCAGCTAATTAACAAATACATATGACTTTATTTTTTTACTATCCGTGATCCAGCACACCTCACCTGATTGGATTTGTTTGAGCAAGGATGTGATACCAAACTTTATTCTGAGAGGGCTGAGCTTCTGGTGATTGGTCCTGTCTTGTTTCTATAAGGCTGTAATCATTCTGTGTTAAATTTCTGCCTTTCAAGCTTGGTCTATGGTGGGGTGGCAGTAGGCATTTTTAAATTCCAAAATATTGCTCTACCAATTGTATGGCAACATTTTTATTCTTGTTGATAGTCATGGTCAATCCCTCCAGGCAATGCGATAAGCTATCCTTGTGATGTGGATGGCGTATACCACAAATGTTCCTAGTGGTCTGAGGAACATAGAATGGTCAGATGACGTTTAGTTTCTAATTCAGTATAACCAGTGTTACAAACTGTACTAGAGGATAGATAGTACATAGCTCCCTTAGCTTGTAAATCCACAGAAGAATCCAGAATAGCAGTGAAGCAGAAATTTGCAACCAAATTTTTTTTTTCCATTTTAATGTTTACAATTTAATAAATCTCTTGATTGCAGACATGTAAGGCTGTTTGGTAGTATTCAGAAACATCACAGTAATGGCAAGTTTTTCAATTGGTATGTAGTCTTCAATAAATATCTATGAAACTGTCAAACCAGTATGACTGCATTTATACCTCCATAATTTTCAGGATTGTTGGTAACCAGAGCATATTTTCCCCAAATAACCTTGCCTCCTTCTGTCACAGGGCCCAACTCACTCACGTTTACCTCAGTAACAGTACCTTTGGTAATAACACCCAAAGTTATATACATTGGGAATGAAGGACCCTTCTTTACACCAAGTATTGTTAGGCAAAAGGTGGCTCTCAGTTCAGGATGTTACATGGGCTTTCTTGAAACGCAAGCCCATTGGCCTGATGAATGTTCCATAGATACATAGTTTTCTTGTAAAGCCATCTCCAACAAAGTAGACTTTAGTAACCATCCTCTTCCATGCCTTCTTCTTTCTCTTTCCTGTTGGAATAACCTTTTTTTTTTTTTTTTTTTTT